GAGAAAAAATACATATAAGTAAAAAATTTTAAAAAATTAAAAATAAAAATAGAATACAAAATAAAACTAAAATATACTAATCAAACATATAGTTCTCAAAAACTAGTTCATGAAAAATAACTGGTTTCAAAAATGCTAGAAATGAGGAGGAAAACCCACATATGAATATGTATGAAGAGCCACGAAACCTTAAGATCACAATTAAACATAGAAAAAGAATTTTAAATAAAGATCTTAAAGAAAAGGTAAAGATTTCTTTCTGTTGGAGTTCAAGAGATTCTCAGTTTTTCCTCTCAGGGTTTTCTGGAGTGTGATGCTCCACCCCCTAGATTGCTGGAATGAGAGAGGTCATCCCACAGGCAGAGATCTGGAGACAGGGTTTAGGATTGCATGGGCTCCAAGCTCTTCACTGAATGCCAGCTGGCCTGGAGATTTTAAATCAGCACACCATCAGTGTCCAGCACTTCCTACTCCAAACTGAAAGACTGTATCCCAGGGATCTCCTCTGGGTACTGCTCATATGGTTGGGGACCCGATTCTTAGTCCCCTAAGCCACCTTCGGATCCCATGTTTCCTGACCTCGGATTCAGTATCCAAACAATCTCTCCTGACCCTGCCCTTACGAGTTCCCAGTCAGATGTGTGTCTCTCCCAGCAGGTCCTCCAAACAACTGGTTTGGAGGGAGAGGGGTAGAGCCAGGTGGGTTTCCAAGACCAGTTGTCCCCTGTGTAAACCTCTTTCCATGTTTGTTTACTGGGCCTATAATTTGGGCCAAACTTGGGTTTGCCAGGAATTGGCCCCCATAGCTGCTGGCCCCCGCACTACACAGCAGCTACAAAATGGTTCCTTCTTTAGTCTTCATCAGGCCATCAGCTTCTTTTCCCATTTCACCACTACTGTGCAGCGAATCTTTCTGGTTTGCTGGGAATGTCCTTAATCTCTATATGCTCCATACCCAGACACGTCTTGGGCCTCCCAAAAATGAGGGTTTCTTTAATTCCTTTATCCCTCTACTATGCTTATGGAGGGACCGCTCTGGCCGGTGCTTCTAGCCCAGCCATGGCAGTGGCTGTGCCACTGGGGTTTTTTTTCCTTATTTTATTATATCCAACCTCCTGAGTTCCCGATCTGCTTTGAATGTCCAGCTTTAAATTCCAGAAAAGTACCTCTACTTTTTTTGGTCCACCTCCTTGCTGAGAAGCTGCCTATCTGCTTTCTTGGCTTTTCCTTGTTACTTGTATTCTTGATAATTGCCATCCTGACTGGAGTGAGATGGAATCTCAGTGTACCTTTAATTTGTATTTCTCTAATTGCTAGAGATATTGAACATTTTTTCATATATTTGTTCACTGATCGTATTCTCCTGTGAAGCATCTGTTCCGTTCCTTTGCCCATTTATTGATTGGGTTATTTGTTTTTCTGCTGTTAAGTTTTTGAGTTCTTCATATATCCTGGAGATTAATGCAGGTGATTAATGCAAAGATTTGTCTCCCATCCTGTAGGACTCTCTCACATTCTTTTAAAAAATATTTTATTTAGAGACAGGGTCTGAGTTGCTTAGGGTCTTGCTAAATTGCTGAGGCCGGCTTTGAACTTTCAATTCTCCTACATTAGCCTCCTGAGCCAATGGGATTATAGGAGTGAACCACCGCACCCAGCTCTTTACATGTTCTTGATTGTTTCCTTTGAAGGAAGAAGCTTTTTAGTTTTAATCCATCCCATTTATTGATTCTTGATTTTACTTCTTGCACCAGATTTTTAAAACTTGAGATAAACATTTCACTTTAGAGTAGTTTTAGATTTCCCAGGTTGCAGAGATGATACCTCGTCAACCCATACCTGGGTGCCTTGCTATTAACATCTTGCATCACTTTGTACGTTGGTCACACCTGACTGGATGTCCCTTCTCTGGGCCAGGCTCCTATGTGGAACAGCATGCTGCATTTAAAATCATGTTCTCTGTTGTAGGTGCCACCTTGGGCTTGCCTTTTTCCTTGATGACCTGCATTGCCAGTTTGAGGAGTGAGGGTTAGGTATTTTATAAAATGATCCTCAACTGGGCTTTGTAGGGAGTTATTCTCATGATATTCTCATGGCGTAAGGGCTTGGAGAGAAGGACCACAGTGGTGAACTACCACTCTCAACACACTGTATCACGGTGGCACCCTGTCAACAAGACTTGTCCCTACTGGCACTGACCTGGATGCCCTGGCAGAGGCTGCCTGCTGGGTTCCTCCATGCAGCGTTTGTTGTTCCCCATGCTCCCTCTCACCTGGTACTCTCTGAAGCAAGCCTATGTCTTGGGGTAGTCTTACACTCCACCACCTTTGGGAGGAGATGTCTACAGAAAGTACTGGGAATTCTGCAGAACAGACTGCACATTGTATGTTCAAATTATTATCTTAGTATGAGTTCTGGGTATTCACTGTATACTCTGGCTCATTATCTAAGCTACATATTTAATTTCTTCCTTGAACTGTTCCCACTTTTGTCACTGAGAGCACCTCAGTTGGCTCCTGTGTCCCTGGGACACAACCTTTCTTGCTGATTCCTTCTTTCCAGTGCTATGAGAACCTCTAGGCTCATGCTGGTTCCTCCCCTCCCTAGAGCAAGGCACATGGAGAACTGTGTGAGAAACCACCTCTGGTGCTGGGCACATCATGGGCTCTAAGCACCGTTTTGATTAGTGATTTAATAGCAGATGCAATGAGCCAATGTTTCCCTTTCCTCTTCACTTTAAAAATACACCAGCACTCCCACAGAACTAAGTGAACATGCCCAGTAGTTTCTCTTTGACTACAGCCCTGGTGCTCAGGGCAAAACCAGAGACAAGAGCCCCACCCTTTGTTGTGGACTCCACGCAGACACTAGCTCCATCACTACTCGGAGACTCCTTATTCCTCCCATGGAAAGATTCAAGAGTCTCTTGAATTCTTGTTCCCCTTTCCAACCTTCTTTAACATAATTCTAATTCTGTGAGTATAGAGTTCTAACCACAAACCTCTTCAGAGACTGCCCTGCTTTGTATGGCTCAAGGATTCAGCAAGGCTCCAGGGCAAAATGCCCGTGCTTGCTGAGGAGTGTTAATGACCTGACAGACACACTCCTCTCTCCCTCAGATGCCCAGGGATCCTCCACCCTCAGGGCATGCTGGGCTCCCTCCTGGGACTAGAGCCCATAGGCACCACTTCTGCCCACTGCAAACGCTGCCTGAGCTGCTCCCTTGTTTGTGAGGCCAGCCCATGGCATTCTGCTGTGGGACCACTCAAGGTCCACCCTGCATACCTCAGTGGACACACAGCTTCTAGCATGCTGTTCTGTGATCTTGCTGACATGTCTGAGACCCTCCCACCTAGTAATGCGCTTACCCAGGATGAAAATTTTGTATTACTGAGTTTTCAGTCTCCAGCAGTTCACTACCAAGGACTCAAAAGGCACTCAATGGTGGCTGTCAAGTGAATTAATAAGCAAAGAAATGGACAAAGAAACAGATAACTAAGCAAAACACTAAGATGATATAAATCACTGTTTTTCCTGAATGTCTTTTTGAAATGAAGACAAAAATTGTTTTCATTAAGACCTTCAATGATTTCTCTGATTCTGGCAATTTGTATTTTCAGCATTAAGGAAAGTCTTTCAAGCTGAAGAATGTGGCAACTTTTAAATAAAAGATCCAAACTACAGTGAATGATAGTTTTAATATTTTAATGACTAATCTGTTAAGAAGCACAACACAGGTGAGATATCTTTTTTTTTTTTTTTAAAGAGAGAGAGAATTTTTTTAATACTAATTTTTAGTTTTCGGCAGACACAACATCTTTGTTTATATGTGGTGCTGAGGATCGAACCCTGGCCGCACGCATGCCAAGCGAGCGAGATACCGCTTGAGCCACATCCCCAGCCCCAGGTGAGATATCTTTATAAACACATACAATTACAAATATTTGGTGAGTATCTACTATTTGTGCCAAAATACTGTGAAAGTGAGACGCTGAGCTCCAAGGCCCAGTGGTGCATTAGGTCACAGCTCTGCAACAAGATGGACTGCTGGGCCACGTGCACATAAGTGACACAACAGGCCCAAAGGACACTTATGTAAGTACCAAAATAACGGCTATATCTACTATTACCCATCATCATTTCAAATGATTTCACATGCTTTGTAATGACTTCCAAAACTATTTATTTCTACTTTTATTTTTAAATGATTATATCTCCCTTGAAAAATCCTATTCTCAAAACAGGGATGATAAGCTCACAGCATGAGAACAGGTGGACACACCTAGAAAGTCCAGATGAAATCTAATACCATTAAGTCTTTATTACATGGAGAATTTTCACTGTATTTTACCAGCATCTCTCAAATGCCAGAAGAATTTCAGTAATGACAGAGAAGAAAGTGTATTGGCAAAATATTGCACTACTGTAAATGAAAATAAAATTGGCCTTTACAAGAATAAAACAAATATCAATTATTTTTTGGTGAATTATCAAAAGATGAACTGCAGAACTCCCAAGACTACCAAGGCGTAAGCTCAGCTCAGCTTACGTACACGTGAAATCATCTGAGTCTAATGTAGGAATCAATTTCATTATCAGAGAAACTTTTAGATATTTTAAATTTTCTGATGCATGGGCAACAAGTAATCCTTATTCCTCCATTTGTGAAAAAATTCCTTAATATACAGAGAACATGAGCAATAGTGCACAGGCAATATTAGAACTCCATGTAAATCAGAAGCGATGTACCCCTCATCATGATTAAATGTAGATGAAAAGTGCATTAACGTGTTGATAGGCCATACACATTATTAGCATAACATCTACCAACATATTTAAATGCTTCCTAACAAAATTAATGACATTAAGAATTTTTAAAAAACGTTTTCTTTTCTAGATACGTTTTAGCAACATGGTGTCCGAGTCAATATTTAATTTTACGTTAAGAAATGGATTCAGTTCTGAATGCTTATGGGTCTAGACAGGTGTGCAGTACTTACTCTAACACTTCATAGTTAGACTTCTTTTCCAGTGCATTGCCGCGCATCTCCCAGTATGATCGCCTAAAAACCAGGGAAGACAAATTAAAATATGTATGCATAGAATAAATATGTTGTTAAAGGGTAACAATAGGGGGCAGCTAAGTAACAAGCAAGTAATTTGGAATCTTCTTGCACTTCATTTAGAAGAAAGAACTTGGAAATTTTTTCAAAAATAATGAAAAGCATTGACAAATTTGGTCACCACCTACCGTATTTCTAGGCAACCCAACTTCAAAGCAATTTCCTGGTCCACTTGGTCTGCTATCTCTAGCATGTAGTCGCTCTTTACCTGCAAGGAGAGGAAGCGGGGCTGTTCAGAGGAAGGTTGACTCCACCCAGGCATTCCACAGCATCTACAGACCATTCACACTGTCAATTACCACTCCAGATTCTGGATATAAAATGAGTGACACCAAATACAATTGAAGAAACAATAGTCTCCTGCTAAAAGAAGCTCATGTCATTGATGCTGGCTTACATGGGATTTAGAAACAACTCACACACCTGAATCATAGGAATGCTAAGCTCCCTTGCACCCTACCCACAGGGTCAGAAGCAAAAACAAGCAGGAAAAGATCTTTTTCCAAGAAAACTTGCAGCAGATGCATTTTCTAAGCTATGACTACAGTTCTGCAGCATTTTGGGGATCCAGTGCAAATTCATGGAAATTTACATACTTACCTAGAGAACTGAGGTGTTTCTACCTAACCACTGATTGTATGCGACCAATCTGCAAAGCAAGGAAATGCTTCAAGTCTAACAGAAAGCAAAGAGTCTACAAGAACACCAGAAATGCCTCCCAGCAATGAATATGCTCCATGAGAAGTGCTGATGAGCCAGCGAGCAGCTAGCTGTAAGCACAAAGGCATCTTTAGAGCTGAGACACAATCAGGCTTCTGACAGATGAGTGCTGAGAGCAACTCCAGCAAAAATCCTGAAGACAGGTGCACGCGTCCTGAACCTCCCTCGAAGGGTGTCTGGACCATCAAACATTTATTCCATTACACCATGAACTGCACCAATACAAAAATCTTTCATAAGACCTTTGATTTTGTCTCTTGGTCCTTGAAGCCTTACCTATTTACTCTCTGGCCCTTCACAGAAATAGTATGTTGATTATTGCCCTGGAAAAAATTTCAAACACCATGCTCTTCAACTACTAGCTCTGAGCCTGCTGGCGCACTGGCTCTACGACTTCTACCCCATTCATTGGCCCTCACTTCACACCAATCTCAGTCTGTCTTATGGTGGGGAGGTCATCATTATGACCTTCTTCTTTGGATATTTTTGTCTCCCCTTTATCTCCTTTAATTGCTAGGTAAAACCGTCCCACAATGAAGCCAACCACTTCTCTATGCTTCCTGCGGGACAGCTGGAGAATGCTCATGAACCTCAACTTAACCTCAGCAGGCCTGCTCAGCGTTAGTTCAGTAGTGCTCCCCATGGGGGTTCCCCACACACCAGTGTCACACTTTCCCCAGTTACCAGTCTCTATCAGGTGGGAGTACTCTTCTTTGACCTGCTGAGAATGAGAAACCTGATGCCACTGGCACCCACCCACACATTCCTTTCTCTTAGGGCAGGAGAGGTGGCTGGTGCCTAGCATGGGACAACACATGATTTCAAAGCCTGCACAGGCACTTAGACCTGGGTGGTCAACAAATATTGATTAAATGAATGAGCGGGCAAATGAATGAACAGATAAGTAGTCAACACACTGGGGAGTATTTCTGTGTGTGGATATTTTGTAGATGAGACTTACAAGCAAAAATAGTTTCTATTCCTTGCACAGCAGACACTCGAGACTGACAACTGGAATTAAATTACTCAACCCAGTAGGTTAAGTCGAATCACTTAGAGTAATCACATTGGCTCAGCCTTCTGTACAATAAAGCAATCCAAATGTCAAATCTCAGTGTTTGCACCAGAGCAGCTTTGTCACTGAATACAAAAAAGGGAGGCACAGAGGCAGATGTTTGCAGTAGAGGAACCCCACAGCTAACTGTGGTTCTGTCTTCCAGTGCATATTCCAGGAGAGCAACAGATGGTTGATGACACGCTGAGAAAAACACAAAACTGCTGGAAGATCAGTCACTGAAATTTCTAAACACTATTCACAGATAAGAAAATATGATCTAGACCTGTATTTCATTCTTCAAAACTGAATTCATATGAGTTGCAAAAAGGGTTAATGATAATTTACCAAGCTCTAGAAAATCCCCTACAAACGACTTCATGCTCTAGGGTTGTTTTTCCTACAGCTCCAATTTACTACTCTTGAGCATCAAAGCTGCTGACCATGGCCTGGAACACCCTATGGTATGAAGTGATTCACATGTTCTGCAAAGGGCTTTGACCGGTGACAACACGGATGGGCACAGCAGGCCTCAGGGCCCTTGTAGTGGGAGGAAAGAAAACACACCCATTGGCTTGTTCCAGGGCTGCCAACTTGTACCCTCTAGATTGTGTGTTCTGAAGGTCCTGAGAGGGTCACATCATGAGGCGGGCTTTCAAACTCAGGGTTCCTTACCCTTGGTGTCCATTTCCCTTGTGAAATACGTTTGGACTTTGCCTTCGACTTTCGCAGAATTGGTTGTTTCCATTTGCAAGATAAATGAAACATACCAGGTCATTTAAGCTCATGTGCACATGCAGTTGTGTACCACACGATGGCATTTCAGTCAGTAGCTTGACTGCATATGTGATGGTGGAATGCTAGAGCTGTCTTAGATCTTACAGTGCATTCTGTGGTGTCTGCACAACAGTAAGATTACCTAATGACACACTTCTCAGAATGGACCCCTACTGTTCCTTAATGCAGACTATAACCCACTGTGAAGCATGTGCGTGTGGACATGAGCACATGCTTAGAAGCACATGGGCTCCTTAAGCCAACTTATATGCAGAACACTATCATCATTGCCATCTTATAGCCTCAGAAAAACCCTGAGGGAAAGGATCAAGATGATGGCAGAGAAACATATACTACTTAAAGAGATCTACCAGGGGCCAGGTCCTGTGCTCAACATTTTACATCCATCATTTCTGATCGTCACAATTCTTCAGGGTAAATTTCATTAGCACTATTTATATATATATATAAAATATATATATATAAAACTAAAAAACTTAATTTACACTGGGTCACATAAACAAGCTTCAAAGATGAAATTCAAACACCAAGATGACTGGTCCCTAAATCGCAGGCTTCACTGTGCCTGCTTCCTTGGACTGTCACAGAGCAGACACATGTGACCGGAGCAGTGGTGGCCACACCACGTCAACCCAACAGCCCACTGAGACACATGCCAGCTCCACTGGGCCGCTCATTGCTCTGTGCTCTCTCTTCAGCAGGATTTCTACTGAGAACTAATTCTAGGTTCAGCAGTGTACAGATGTTTTCAGAAGAATACCCAGGAGAAGAGCACTCGTACTAAAGCCAGCGCCCAGAAGCTCCAGGTGGCGGAAAACACCACCAGGGAGCAGCAGCACGTTACCAGAAAATTACCTCTGTTGCCTTTCTATTTCTAAATCTTTTATATACAAGGATGATGAAGAAATAAGAGTTGATTAATATAAATTTAAAAGTTCACCTAAATCTTCATTAACCACAAGAGCTTCTCTGAATCACGGAAATACACAGGCATGGAAAGAGAAGTGTACACTATTAAATCTACCAAAGAAATACTGAGAATTCGACTCATAGAAAGATAGACCTGTACTTAATTTTTTACTGTTGCATAATTACATATACTAGTGGAATTTGTTATGCCAACCTTGTACATGTACAAAACAAAGCTTGAAAAACACGGTACGTATACAAAACAGAGCCGGAACAACCCTGTGCATGCACACAACAGAGCTGGAACAACCCTGCGAGTGTAAACAACAGAACCTGAACAACGCTGGTTGTGTAAACAACAGAGCCTGAACAACCCTGGACGTGTACAAAACAAAGTATGAACAACCCTGTTTCCAGTACCTTCTCTCTCCCTACCCACCTGCTCCCAGGTCTCCTGGGCCTATACACGACTTTATCTTCTCTCTGGAAAAGGGCTGACTACCCCGACTTCAGCTGAAAATGTCAGATTTTAAACTCAAATTTCACACTTAGAGTTGCAATTCCCTGTTTCTTTTTCTAGTAGGGATTGGACACCCAATGATACTTTACCACTGAGCCAGATTCGTAGTCCTTTTTATTTTGAGACAAGGTCTTGGTAAGTTGCTTAGGGCCTCATTAAGTTGTGATCCTCCTGTCTCAGTCTCTTGAGTTGTGAATACAGGCTTGTGCCACCATACCCGGTTGCAATTTTCAAAAAATGCTTTAACTGTAGCTTCAAGGCCAAAACAGTATAGGATGAAGTTTATTTCTGACAATAAATAATCTGAGTGAAATATTATAAAAAATAATAAATTGGAGAAAACAAAAAGATTGATCAACAGCTGGCACTTCACACATTTCCACACCACAGCCTAGTTGTGATTCTAGACTTGGTTGTTGTCTTGGAATTCTTTTGTTAAATAAACCATTGATTTGTTTGGTATTTCTTACAAATAACAGGTGAATATACTCATGCTAAATATAAAATGTTTACAGGAGTAAACAAATGAGGACTTTGTATCAGATCCAGGCATCTTACAGGTTGATATGTCAACAGCATCAAGTGAGTTCTACACAACTTCAACATCATCAATGGAAATTTAACAAATGTGGCAACCTTGAAATTAATGGCCACTGCCATTTGCGAAAGGGTGGCAGTCAAAAACAGCTATAACCAATGAGAGCTAAGCAAGAGAAAGAAAAATGTTATACGATGAAGGAAGTCTAATTTTTAAGGTAAATATACTTTCTTGTTTCTAAAAGTCATAAGCTTTGTCATCAAAACGTATTTTTCAGACTCCTGCCTTACAGTAAATAGTGTTACAAGATTCTAATTTTAGAATGTGATGACTAACACCTTTCAGGATATTAAAAATGAGCCAACAACATTTAATGATCCATTTGAGGATTTCTCACCCGGCAGTCATGTTCAGGACAACTTTTACTGTAACCACGTGCACACAACATCATCTGACCAGAACCGAAACCTCCAACATGAATACATCCACTGGCACCTTGTTTCCCTTGTGACTCCACACAGTGGGCATGGACTCCATATTCTCCTAATTTCTTAGTGGAATGGCTAAACAGCCTCCAAAGCCATTTATAAATTCAATCTAACCTTGATGCTGCCATCCAATCAAGGTGGTCTCATTTTAAAAATTTTAAAATTCTGACCAAGGCGTTCACTAATTAAATTCTTTAAAGGGCTCCCAATAACCTATAAAAAACATAAACTCCTTTTCACTCACATTGGTTTCTTGTCAAGCCACGTTAGCCCCTACAGAAATGCACAAACTCTTCTTTCTCTTCGCCTCATTCCTGTCAAGAGAGCACCTGGATGCAGGTGGATACTCCTTGGAGCCCGACTCCATGCATTCGCTGACCTAGCAGACTCTTCTAGAAGGTCCATGTTGCCTGCTTGTGCTTACTCACAGCACAGGAGCAAACACAAGGCAACTGTCTGCAAGAACTATCTGCAAGACAGAGGAAGCACAGGTGCAAATCACCACCCCTGCCTTACTAGCTCGGGGTGGATGGTCATTGAAGATGTTTAAGACAAAAACGTGACCGAGTGCTCTCAGTGGCAAAATGGTACATGCAAGTGGCTGGTACCCACCAGCAGCCTTCCAGGGTACACTTCCACAACACTCACAGGCAACACTTATATGGTGTCATGTTGGGCCACAGGTGTAAACAGCAGCTCTTCAGCGTGAAAAAGTCAGGTTTTGCTTTACTGTTCAAACTACTATCAAGACCAAATGGGTAAAGTTCACTCTAACAAGGACTTTCACATGAGACAGACTTACTGATACCCCTGCTAGAAAATTATCCTTGAATGAAAGAGAGCGACATGGTTATAGACTACTGTCGCTTTATAAAACAAGTACCATTTAAGATTTGTCCCAGAACACAGCTGTTCACAAAGAATTAAAATCTCAATTTCTTATGGTTAAAAGGTTTTCCATACAGTGATAAATTTATATTCTCTGAAATGCTGGGTTTCCTCTAACCATAAAAATATGCAATAAATGATTCAAAGAAACAAAAAAGCATATTAGAGCACTCTCTCATACCTGTTGGTAGAAGAAATTCAGAGTTGGCTTGTCTTCAGTAAACTGGTTCAGAAATCCTTTTGGCAAGTAACGAATCCTTAATTCATATCTAAAAAAAAAATTTCATGAAATAAATAATAAGAAATAAGTAATTTTCAATTAATTTCTACGAGTCCAAAATTACTGTACATATGGCATTGCAAACTACTTTGAAATATGATTTTAAAAAAGATATAAACTATAATCAATCTTTACATGGAAATCTTTATTTTTAGCAAAAATAAAGGGCTCACTGGGCAACTAAATGGCAGACAATTTTCTCTCGTTTCAAAAATAATGATCCTGCGGCTGGCAGCATGGATCTCGTTCTGCAGGGAGGGCTAAGGGAAGGCCCAGGTCACAGATCTGCTAATCACAGCACGGGCTACAGCTCAGTGTCCTGCAAGGACACAGAACACATCAAATCGCCACCAAGGCCCAGAGGGAACACAGCCCTCACCCCACCACCCAGAGCTAGCTACCACAGGGGTACAGGCTTTCTGTGTGAGTCTGATGTCTGTTGCACAGTGGGCTCACCATGGTCTGAGCTGGCTGCAAGCACAGTGCACTGAGGGCCATGAAATCAGCACCTCAGCAGGGCTGGTTGCCCCGTGACCTGCTCCAACTTTTTGGCTATAATGAATAATGCTAGTCTTTTTTCTTCTCCTAAACATAAAAACTCACTAGCTCAAGAAAACAAGTTTAAGAGTGGTCTGGGCTGGGGATGTGGCTCAAGCGGTAGCGCGCTCACCTGGCATGCGCAGGGCGCTGGGTTCGATCCTCAGAACCACATAAAAATAAAAAATAAAGATGTTGTGTCCATTGAAAACTAAAAAATAAATATTAAAAAATTCTCTCTCTCTCTCTGTCAAAACAAGCTGGCCTCCCCAGAATGTGCTTCACATGCTTCTTCTGGGTTTGTGCACCCGGAGGAACTCTCACGTCTTCTGGTGAATGTGCAGCAAGTTCCCACAGTGCAAATCCCAGAGGACAAGCACCGGGCTATGACAGAGGCGAACACAATGGTAGTGGGTGATCCCTGCAGGGTGCCATGCTGTGCCACACTTGGCCTTTTCCACGCCCTAGTCCACCTGGTCTCCACCTTTCTACTTGTTCCCAACAGCACAACAAAATTGGACATGGCAGTTTTAGCTGCCTTCTCCATGGGGACTCCTCCACATTCTAACTGAATACTCTGGCACAGGTGCAAATTACCACCTCCTTTAACACCCAGAGTGCCTGGCCTCCTTGCATGCTCTGCCCCACTGAGTGCTCTGTCTCATTTCCCACCGCCCCTCCATACTGCCAGCTCTGTGTGTTTACACATGAGGCCTTGGTAGACATGGACCGCCCTCTCCCGCCCTGTCACCTGCCTTCCTAAAAGTATCTATTTTGGAATGAAAAGGTCACTTCATATATCAGTTCTGTCTCATTAAAATACATAGTTACCAAACAATTAGGTTCTGTTTCACTTTTACACCCAAAAAGAGTTCAATGACTTACGGCAGCCATTCTGTGTTGGATGGTTTTTACAGAAGTGACACAGATCTCATCTGTGTTAAATGCAGGGCTGGCCAGCACTTAACTGCCTTCCGTGACTTCTCTTCATCAATGTCAAGATCAGGGAGCAGGCCAGGAAATGATACTGAACAAGAATAAGTGGTCAGTTCTGAGCTTATATGCTCAGGACTCAGGGAGGCCAAAGGAGGCTTCCAGCACTAATATTATGCCCATTTTAAAGATAAGCAAATAGTCCAAAAATGGGTCCACGCACAGCACCCTGTTGCTGATGGAGATTAATACCTACTGAATACTTGGTACGTGACACAAGTTTCAATGAGAATTTTACACAGATGACTTTGTTTCATGAGAAGCGGAAGGAATGTGGGCTCTTGAGCAAGACTGCCAGCACCTGAGCTCCAGTCATATCACTTAAGTTAGCCTTCACCTCTTGCCTCAGTCGGCTGTGGCTCTCAGCAACCTCTCAGCCTCAACTTCCTCCTAGGAAGTCGCAAAAATAAGCCATCTGCAAACACAGACATCTAGAACATCCCAGGCATAGCAGGGGTCTCTAAGGTTTATCCTGATGGTCCTCACTCAGAGGGACAACACCAAGCACGTCTGAGACCTAGCAGAACGAGGCAGGTCCCGGCTCTCATAAAGCTTGTAAGGTCTATGTAAAGTGGTAGCAAATGTCACAGAGACAAGCCACTAGGGAACGACAGTAAGTGCGCCTCGACAGGAAGCGGCTAGAAAAGGGCATTCTGACACAGGCTCCAAGTCAAGGAGGTGAGAAAGTGAGTGACACAGATGCAGAGAAAGAAGAAGAGTCCAAACAAACCAAGGCCACGGGGCCAGGAGATCCTTGTGTAACCCAACACAGCCAGCGGACTGAGCAAGGGTGTGAGGAGTGAGGCAGCAGAGCACACAGGCCCTGTAAGTCAGGACCCTGCAGCTCCTTCTCAGTGGGCAAAGAGTGTCACAGCAGGGTGGTGACATCATAGGACAGATGGTCCCTGAACTAGACTGCACCATGCAGAAAGGGCGGCAGAGCCCCAGAAGAAGCAGGGCACTACGAGGCAACTGCAAGGCTCTGAGGAACAATGGCCAGGGCAATACTCACTCCACTCCCAGGGGAAGAGCTAAAGGGGCTGTATTCCCAAGGTGCCCCATCTGCTAGCAGATGAGGGACTCCTCTCCAGCAAGACATGTACAATGTCCACGGTGACCCAAGACCAGGAGAAAGCACCCAGAACCCACATAGGAACTTGCATGGAGCTTGCTGCATGTGGGCCAAGGACCATGGTCCCTGCCCCAACACACTCAAGCAGACTTCATAAGAACACCACTGAAACTCTGCTAAAGGTGGCCAAATTTAATCCATCCAATCACCTCTCCTTCATCCTTCCAGCATGCCACCCGATGATGCCTTCCACTGCCCCTCATCCCTCTTGTCCACCAAGCTCCTCATCCTCCTACACTCTGCAACCATTCCAAATGCCTGGTGTATCCTGATATGTACGCTGCAGTGAACACAACACACCCCAAATAAGATCATCCTTCGGCTGCTAATCCAAGCCACGCACTACCATCAGTGCCACTGTTGTCTGGCTTCCTCAGACTGACCACCAACTCAGAGTATGAGGATGCCCACAAGCCAGCCAATGATTGGTAGGAGCACAGGTGTTCCAGAGGAGCTAAGCTGGACCAGGCTCCACACAGACACTGAGGGGGCCAGTGCCAGTCTGCCTGTGAAATGAAGCACCATGGGAAATGGCACAGACAGCCCTTGGCATCAGCATGTGGACAGGGCATTCCTTAGTGGCCTCCAGTCAACAGCAACTGAGAAGGGAAGATCAGAAACATTCACTGCATGGAAGTCACAGCAGTAATCTCTGTGAGACTGCGCCACGAGGGGTGCTGTGATCAGTGAGTGAGGACACAGAACTGGCACCACTCTCCACAGGACCTGTGCAGATGGCATGAGGAAAAGTGACCACATGGGGGAGCAGCCTGCTGCCACCACCTTACCCTGACATCCAATGCTGTCATTACAGACTTCAGAAGTGTTTTGCCAAAAATGCATAACCTTCACAAAATCATGAAAAAAAACCAAAAAAACTGACAAGCCCAAATTGAGGAGCACAGAACAAATAACGGGTCAGTATTCTTCTCAAGTGCCAAAAGGCAGGAACAGCACAGGCAAACTAAGGACTGTCCAGGCAGGAGAGGATCCCAGGAGGTTTGAGAGGTGGCAGCAACTGTGCAGAGGCCAGAAGGTCAGAGAGCAGTGCGGTGTCCACACTGAGCTTCTGGGTTAATTCTGCTGTTTGCCTGTGACTGTACTATTAAAGCTAGGTGAGGGTACACAGGACTTGATGCATTACCCAGAATGTTAAAACTCCTACACTCCAAAGTTGATCCTTCTGTGGTAAAGTAATAAATACTCACCAGAACCAGTTTTATGCCACTGTGTCCTAAAATACCAATTATACAGCCACAGACCCAACAAAACTCATTCTGAAGCACCTTTACTCTATCTACTAACAATGTGGCTCAGTGGACAGGCACACTAGGACCACTAAGCGAGGCGGTGCTTTCTCCAGCTCAATGAAGCAGGAATTGACTCTGAAGAGCATGTTTCCAGATCCTCAACAATCAGGAAGAGCCAAACCCCACCATGGTCCTGGAGCTGGTAACACTGCTTGCATCCCCAGAGCTGGCTGCTCGGATTCATGCTTCTCAAACCTCATTGGCATCAACAGCACGTTCTTCTCAGGGAGGTTGTCACTGACTGGCACAGCTCTCCTAAAAGCCCCATGCATGACTCAGAGAAGGAAGCATATGATCTCAGGTGTGGACAATATATGAGTAGAACATTTCCACTGAATTAAGAAAAACTGATTATGTCAAAAGTCAGATGCCCAGGATGGGACCACAGTTCAGTGGTAGAGGTCTGCCCGGGACACACAAGGCCCTGGGTTTGATCCCCTGCACCAGAGCAAATTTAAAAAGAGGAAGAGGGCATGGTGGCTACATCTGGAGACAGAAACAGAGAATATCACTATGAATAGGGCACACCTCTACTTAAATGGGCAACACCAACTAAAGGTGGTAGGGCATTGATAAAAGGCATAAGGAAGGGACGCTTACACCACCAAGTCCGAGAGCAGAGGAAGATGCCGTGATCAGGAGCCTTCATGCTCTTGCCAGGACAGCCTTAAACTCCTAACACAAGACAGAACCTCTAAGAAAAAATTAGCTGATAAAAAATTATAGCTGAATACATTAATGCCATTTTTCAAGCAAACAAAATGCAAACGTCATCTTCACAGGCTTAACAATAAGCTTAAGGGAAGGCACAGGACACACCTCTTTCCAATCACAGGATATGCAGTCCTTTCAAAACTGATGAAAACGCCAATGAGACAGGAAGGCACAAAGAATCATCCACAGAGTTTTAAAAAAATTAATGTCATAAAACACTATTTTTCCTATAAAGCAAGAAAACAAATCAATAAACAAGAATATTTTCTTTTTGTAAATTTACTTATAGCTAAAACCTGAATAGTATATACCTAAATAATTCTATGATTGAAGGGAAAAATCTTGGAATTTTTTAAATTATAAAGTACGAATTGACAATAAAAACATTTATCAGGGCTGGGATTGTGGCTCAGCGGTAGAGCGCTCGCCTAGTGTGTGGGAGGCTCTGGGTTCGATCCCCAGCACCACATAAAAATTAAAAAAATAAAGATATTGTGTCCAACTACAACTAAAAAATAAATATTAAAAAAAAAACATTTATCAGACTTATGAAACAGACAAATCAAAATTTAAAAGGCAACTTATAGGTCAAACACATTTATTAGAAAACATTAATAAAATGAAACAATTCATTTACAGGAGCAGAGCATGAATAGGTCCAAGTCCTCGAGGGAGGCCCGCTATACCTGGCCCTGAAGCAGGAGGCCCCAGCCAGGCTGGAAAGGTGCAGGAGCCCTCTCCCTAGAGCCACCCAAGAAGCAACAGGCAGGGCAACAAGACCAACGGGACAGGCGGAGCTAGAAACAAGACATGAAAAGCAGGACAACACAAGGCAGTGGAGGAGAGATGAGGGTGGTGACGGTGAAGATCGAGGGCAAAGCTATTCTCCACTCCATAAAACTGGTTCAGAACCAGCTCTCCCAACCCCAGCCTGGGTATTCATGAAAATGGTTTGTAACTCCATACCACTTGCCTGCCTGCTGAATACAAGGGCCTGTGCCAACATACTTCTTAATGCTGGATGCTTTTATAATTGAGTTATTAACACATGAATTTCTTAATGCATAAATTAATGTTTTGTTAATAAAAATATATACTAAAGAGTCAAGTAGGAATTGGACCTTCAAAGGAGCAGACATCACAAAATAGGGGAAGGAGAACAGCAGCAGGAGACAAGATTGCAGGGAATCAGAACCCGTGGAGTTTGCCCTCGTGTGACAAGAAGCTCCTGGCAGCTGCTGGGGTGCAAAGACCCATGTGTTTAACTGCATGGCTTTCTGAGGATCCCTAGCGCACTCCCTTAGCACCAGGCCTCCACTGGGGGACAGCAGTGACTTGCTCCCATGCCTGTCCAGTTGAATGTGTGAAGCTAATGTCAAAGCCAGGTCTAGAGAGGCTTCAGGGAGAAGAGAAGGGGGTGTGCAGGCTCACCAAGGCACCAGGGATGAGCCCTGAAACAGGAGATCAGAGCAGGCATCTGGGAAGCCAAATGAAGAGCACGCACCTTCTTTTTGAGGAAATGAAATTTTCTTACTATGATGCCTTTACAAATGTTTCTGGAGCATCTTCTGAACATACTAACAGGCTGCAGACACCTTCTTTCACTAGTTACTATCTGTGCTATATTTTATTTACTGTGAGAAGTAATAATGCTCTTCAAACTGCACACCAGGCCTTTCTGTTACTTTTGTTTCAAGAGCCAGTGTGTGCTGAGAGCTGACCAATTCTTTTCCTTCTTGCGCCTGAAATCCTCCTCTGAAGACCATTTTTCTTTCTTATGTGCATTCTGCTGGTTCCCTATGCTGGTGAACTCTCTGATCACCAGCTTCTTTGCTGAGCCTCCTGAAGCATCTGGATCTTCCCCTGCTGCTCTGAACACCTGGTTGGGCTCACTGGCTGGCACTGCCACCAAGGTCTGCCCACCTGTCGGTCTAGCCCTTGCCTTTGCTAGGGATTTAAAGTCAACCCCTCACTTGAGGGCTCCTTTCTCACTGATTCTAGAACATTCGCAGGCATTGACGCACGGGGCAGTCTCTTCTTCCCCATTCTTTCATTATTCTAGATTATCTACTAGAAGTAGGTTGACTTTTTACGTTACATAAACCTGCTTTCACATTTTCTATGTGTTCACCTCACACAATGTTCTGAGCAGTTTTTCAGCTATATCTAATGTACTGTTTTACCAACAACAATTCCTATTCAACTTTACTTGGAACAAGGTAAAATAAATTGGCTTAAAAGAAGAACAAAAAAAGCTTGCATACTTGCAGATTTAGGTTCACTGAGTATGTTATTACTCATTAGGAATGTCATTAAGTAAAACTGCCACTGACACGCCTGTATCTATGAAGATGACAGAAGCGTCTTAATAAAAGTGCCCAGGCATTCGAGCAGACTGGCAGCTGTCCTCAGCATGTACATACTTCACCACTTAGCTGATCCTGCGGTTGTCATTCAGACCTTCCCTGGCCACTGATGCAAGCCGGTGACACCACATGCTCCAGGAGAATTTGGTTAGCTAGTTCCTATTACGTGACACGTTTGAAAACCAAGCCATGCTTCTGACACACTCTGGAACCGGGACAAGACTGCAGTGCACTTCAGATACAGATTGTTTCCACAAAATGTGCTTTCTTCGCTCTCAAAATACTGATTTATACCCTTGGACCGAATATGACTGACCACTGCGTACACTGTCTACACATTGCTTGATTTCTGCATCAGTACCTACAAAGAGAACCCCTTAAAAGAGGCCCCTTGTTACCAGTTATGCTTCTCTCAAAATGTATTTATTTTTTTAAATATTTTTTAGTTGTCAATGGATCTTTTATTTTATTTATTCATATGTGGTGCTGAGGATTGAACCCAGGGCCTCACACATGCCAGGCAAGCACTCTCCCACTGAGCCACAACTCTAGCCCTCTCTCAAAATTTATTTATTTTTTATTTAATTAATTTAGTTTTGATATTGGGGATTAAACTCATGTGAGCTTGACCACTGAGCCATATCCCCAGCCTTTTTTGAGACAGAGTCTCACTACATTTCTTAGAGCTTTGCTAAGTTGCTGAGGCTGCCCTAAGTTGAGATCCCCCTGCCTGGGCCCCCCAAGACACTGGGATTACAAGCATGTACCACTATGCCTGGCTCAAATTTATTACTTCAGATGCACATTTTTCAGCTCACATCTTAAATTAGGAGTAAAATAAATAAATAAATAAATCATTATGGAGAAACAAAAAAAGGATAATTATAGGGATTTCTTCCAATTCACCTAAAATCATTTCAGTTTAATTTAATGTTTCAGAAAAAGTCACGAAGCCCTAACCGTGTTCCCTGTGGATGTCACACACATACTAATGCTTCTCAGGTGACCTGTAGCCATGAATAAGGTAACCAGAAGTTTACTGATGGGCAGATCAAGCCCTGTGACATAAACAGAGGCCATAGATCAGAAGGTAAAGAGCTGGGGCTCGCGTTCTATTTAGAACAGAGGTGGACACAAGTAGCCCTGAAAAGAAAGGTGCCTGGCAAAAGACCACTGGTAGTTCAGGTAGACCTAGCCTCTGAAGCAGCACTGGCCAGCAATTACAAACCCACTTCCTTTACACAGGAGCTACAACGACGAGCAGTGTGAATACTAAGCATGTACCAATGCACTGTGCATGTTTCTGACACATGAAACAAACAAAGTGGGGTGTGTGTCTTACTTCCACTCCTCCGGAGGATGGGCAAGCTCATACTTCTCCCTCACGCTGGAGACACCCATGTCCACATGCAGCCAGTGAACCTCCTCCGACCGCAGGTGGCTGAGGCGGAACCCGTAGCAAGCCACATGCTTCACTCTGTGGCTGTCCACTATCTTCTGGATGATGCCCTGGAATACATCCCACAGAAAGAGCTGTTAAGAAACAAAAAGAGCCAGGCGCAGTGGCATACATCTATAATCCCAGTAGCTTGGAAGGCTGAGGCAAGAGGATCACAAGTTCAAAGCCAGCCTCAGTGAGACCCTGTCTCTAAATAAAATACAAAATAGGACTGGGGATATGGCTCAGTGGTTAAATGTCCCTGAGTTCACTCCCTTGTACTGAAAAAGAAGAAGAAACAACAAAGAAACCAAAAAGACTGCACGGGGTGGTAGCCACACATGTACCTAAGGAGCTCAGGAGGCTAAGGCAGGAGGATTTCAAGTTTGGCTAAATTAGCAAGGACCTAACCAATTAATGAAATTCATCTCAAAATAAAAATAAAAAAGGTTGGGGATGTGGCTCAGCAGTAGAGCCCTCCTCCTGGTTTAGGTCTCCAGTACCAAAAAAAGAAAAAAGAAAAGAAAATGAAAAGACTGTCTCTTTTAATTACCAGACATCTTTAGTAAAACAGCATCAAGTTAAATAACTTAGTTAATTTTATATAGGAATTTGTTTCCAAGAAGGATTTTTATGAACAAGGGAAGTTTTAGAAAAACAAACAGTAAGATGCTCTTCCAAGTCCTTCCTGATAAACGCAGCACAGTTAACTTCAACACTTTGCAACGCCGCCCTCAAATGACCCCAGCCCTGCCAAGATGCGCCAGCGTTCTTCAGGTTCCACTTCCCAAGGACTGGCCCAAGGGGAGGTCAGAACATTTCTCAAGACCAGGCTAAAACATCATGTTTTCTAAAAACACACGTTCAGGAACATTCAATTAAGCCCATGTTCCTGGTGATGTTCAAAACAAAGAGTTCTTGGGGGGGCCTCATCAATCTATTCTCTGCTCTCACAGAGTATGCAGCAGCCTATAATGCCCCAAATCCAAAGCTTGCAACACACCTGTCCCTGAGTCTGGAGGAGGTGGGCGTGAAAGCTAGCTCCCACCCCACACTGTCCCTGTGGAGACGCCACTGAGAGGGTGTCTGCAGATCAGCAGCAGGTGTGAGGACTCAAGTGCTACCCTTCATGGGAGGGGCAGAGAAAGCCAGGACCCAAGGGCACACTTCCCAGGCTTTCCAGTGATTGAGAAAAGCTGCTTTTTTGGGGGGGCAGAGAGTAAGAGTTCTTTGAACCCAGGGTCACTTCAGTACTAAACCAAATCCCCAAATTTTTTTTTAATTATCATTTTTGAAACAGAGCCTTGCTTAGTTGCTGAAGCTGGCCTTAAATTTGCAATCCTCCTGTCTCAACCTTTTGAGCCAGAGGGATTGCAGGCTCATGTCACCATACCTGGTATGAGAAAAGCTCGTTTAAGTAATGCTAATTTTATAACAAAACATGGTCTATGAAAACAAATCATCACTAGTTATTAAAAATTAGCAATTAACTGAAGCTACAATAACTTGTAATGTAAGCCACATTTTTTTAAATTCCCACACTTGCTATTTATTCATTATGGCCTCATGCTGTTGATAATACAATACAGGATGTTCCCGGCCTCTCCATTAAAACAAACAAACATGACACAGCACATTCACAAACAATGGAGGCTGCACAGTGCCCTGGAGTCTGGCTTGGTGGAGCTCCCTGAGTGCTGAATGGGTGAGGCAGCCATTTGAGCTCCCTTTCAGGTGTCCAACCACACCCAGGAACAGTGGTAGAGAGCAGACAAGCTGTCAGAGCACCAACAGAGGATCAGGCTCCGGTGATCCATGGCGGTCCTAATATGACACCAACAGCCTTTCGTCCTGGAGGGTAGTCTGTGGCCGGCAGCCCTCCATCTGGATCTGAGGGAGGCATAAAGTGTCCTTTCTGGCTTTTTGAGGCAAAAAGCCTGGAATTCTGACAGGGCTGGTGTAGATGACGTCCAGGCTCTACACTGCACAAGGGTGTCCAGTCGCGGGAACCATCAGCCCAGTTACTGACTTCGGATCTTGCGCACTAGGTGAGGGATGCCTGGATAAGGGTCGATGCTGCTTACGGACTCTCTCCAAGCAGAGCTCTGTAGCTTTTCCTTGCCAGCACGCATGTCCCTGGCCTATGAGCAAGGGGACTGGCACCACTCTAGAATCCCCACAAAAGCAGCTTTGTCCCCCTTCCCAGATCTGCCAGCTCAGCAGCCGGGGCAGCAACCTAGTCACCTTATGGTGCACAGTGTGTCACACCAATACCTGTGGCTCAGCAGCTGGGCAGTGACACCAGTCACCCTTTGCACAGTGTGCCACATGCCTTATATCTCATTGTCACCATGGTTCAAGAGCAAGCCCTCTGCTGTTGGAACTAGAACAAAAGCCTGTCTTTCTAATCTGTTTCAGTAAACTGGTCTATGTTTATACCCAGAAGCCAACTGCAAAGCCATGTAGGGTATTAATCATTTCTTAATACTAGTGTCTGCCACCATTCACATCCTAGGGAAATTCCTCTTCTCTGGGTGCTCTCACTGACGATCCCACAAAAAGGTCCCTTCCTTTCCTCTCAGCGCACAGAGCAGCTCCTGGAACCCACCTGCTGTAAATCAGTGTCCATGGAGAGGCTGAACCTGGAGCAGCCCTGCTTCAGAAAAGGCCCATGGTCTTGTTGCTTGTTGGAGGAGACTGACTTTGAGTCCACGCCCTGGACCACACCGCCTGAAGAGACCCAGGTGACTTCAGTTTCCATATTGTAGCACTTTCCATATTGTCACACTTTCACACTCCTCCAAGTAACTAAAAGTACAACCATGCAGGGGGTTCCCTGTTTTGTGCTGTGCTTTCTCATTATGTGTCTACACTGTGTTCCATCCTTTCCTCATTCTCTGGTTCCCTCAGAGTCTCTGGACAGTGGCAGACATGAAATGTGGGGTTCTTAAGTATATGGAGCTGATGCTGATTTAGTCAGTTTTTTTCCACTGGTGCGACTAAAAGACCTGATTAGCACAATTGTAGAAAAGAAAAAGTTTATTTGGGGGCTCACAGTTTCAGAGGTCTTAGTCCCTGGAAGGATGGCTCCATTCCACAGGGCTTGAGGTAAGGCTGAACATCATGGCAGACGAGGGTAGTGGAGGAAGCAGCTCCCATGGTGACCAGGAAACAAGAGACAGACTCCACTTGCCAGGTACAAAGGTATACCCCATAGCCATGCTCCCAATTTACCACTTCCTCCTAGTACACCCTACCTGCCTCCAGTCACCACTCAGTTAATCCTATCAGCAATTAATTCACTCATTAGGTCAAGACTCTCATAACCCAATCATTTCTCCTCCGAACATTCTTGCGTTAGTCTCACACATGAGCTTCTGCGGGACACCTCACATCCATATCATAACAGATGCACATACTCAACAGCTTATAGATGTTATCTTGAGCACCAAGTATTTGCTTGTGAACAGCTCAGCAAGTACCTGAGAAGCAGAGGTTAGTGATGGAGAAACTCAGACACCACTGGCTGCCATTTCCATAGCACATGCTCGTTCAGATATACAGCACTCACTTCTGGCATGCATACATTTATAAATGTGAATGTCCCCAGGGAGTGAGAGAACATGGTTTATAACATACTACTAAAGTTAGCTGAATAAAAATTTAAATTCTCATCCTACTGTGCATGACAAACTTGTCATAGGAAATATAAAATAATACTCAGCTACTCTGAAGCCTCCACTTTTCCATCTGTTCCAGGTTTTTAAAATACCCAATTTTCTGGAAAATATAGAAATTTTTTTTTTTTTTAGAGACAGAGATTTTTTTTTAATATTTATTTTTTAGTTTTCGGTGGACACAACATCTTTATTTTATTTTTATGTGGTGCTGAGGATCGAACCCAGTGCCCTGCACACGCCAGGCAAGCACACTACCGCTTGAGCCACATCCCCAGCCCTGGATTATTTTCTTATATTGATATTTTGGTTAAAAGAACTCTTTTTTAAAGTTTAAAGTAAAAGAAGCCCACATCTGCATTTCTCGCAGCAGGAGTAGACGTAGTCATTTCCCTGCTGATGGGTAGTGTTTGTGCTTGTGTGGTTGAAAAAGCTGCTGCCACACCACAGGCACATGTAGAAATGGACAAGCTGCCTCAGGAGCAGCTGCCACAAAACGTGCTCAGGGAGGCAAGCAGCTGGCATCAGGGCGGCTCTGAGAGGCCGTGACCCCGCTGCTAGCCTGCCTGCCACAATGCTAACAGCAGAACCACAGGACACACCCCAGGCTTTTCCTTGCTGCTTCCCAATGAGACGAGGCTGCACAGTGTCCTCCTGAGTTTGCCTGGTTCCATCTGGTCCCCCATCTTTTAGACAGTGCTGTGGAACGAAACCTTTACTTCTCTCAGGAGTGTGTCATAGGACGCCTTCCTCCAGTTCATGAACCCACTGTGTATGTGACACTAGCAACTCAAGCCCAGGTGAGGTGCCATCTTCACCCACGGAGGGCCAGAGTCTAGCAGGAGCACTGACAGTGAACGCTGCAGGTGAGCAACAGCTGACTGGGGATGCGGGGAGGTAAGGCAGGGAACCATGCAAAAGGGAGGTTTGATGTTTCCAGTTATCTCCCCACACTTAATTTTAAAGATGAGCTCATTATCATAAGAAAGAGACATTGAAGCCACATAGTGCCATTATGTCCCCCTAGGACTGACCTGCAGTGCGTGGCATTTCCTTCCTCTATGTACTCCTCCTCTGGACATTCTTCAAGAAGTGAAAGCATCCCCATCTTCTTCTCTGATCACACCCTGTACTGCCAGGACCCATCACTGAGTCATCCAACCAGTCCAGAGCTTCAAGTCCTGTTTCTACAAAGCCCTCCACTAAAAGGACACACTTCCACTGCCTAAGTCAACAGTCACCACACTCTCAGGGCTTACACAGCACAAAGCGTTGTCTTCAGGATCTAGAGAGCACCAGTCTAAAGTGGGTCTCTCTGGAGCTCTGGCTTTGCTGCCTGCAGATTCTTGGCGCACTGGCATGCTTTGGCTCACAGTTCCTTCCTCCATTCAAAAGCCAACAACATGGCATCTGACCCTTTGTCATAGTCACTTCCCTCTGACCACAGACATGTAAAGTCACTAGTGTTGGACTTCCAAGTTCCCAGGCCACACCTGTGAAGGCCTTTTGACCATGTGAGAGAACACCCACAGGTTCTGGGGCTTAGAGCATACCAGTCTTAGTGGCCACACTTCTGCCACTACAGAATCCCACTCTACAGATCTGGTGAGGAAGAATCCCTCTTCCTCGGAAGCTGGCACTGACTTTGCGCTCCTCCTATGGAAGTCCCAGTGCACCTTCATCTGACAGAAGGCTGCTCCCTTGGTATGGGAAGCACACCACACAGCGCGGCCACCTCCACTGACTCCTGGACTAGATCTCCTGGGTGATGAGCTGTAGCTGCCATGTCAGCACTTGATGGTTCTTCCCTTTTTGCTTCTGTCCTTCCACCTCAAGAACAAACCTCTGCTGCCTCTGGGCTTTTTCTCTGCAGCTTCCTCATCTATCTCAGCCTTCACAGAATTGGAGAGAGAGGGCCTTGTTTCGGGCTAAGTTTTGGCTTGTGGGCTGCCCTGGATGGATGGATGGTCTGTCTAGACTGCTAAAACTGCCTCCATTCAGCAATAAGGTGTTTCACTTTCTTGTCATTCATGCACTCACTGGAGCAGCACTTCCTTCCAGAACCTCCCTTTGCACTCCACTTAGCTACATTTGGCACAAAGGCGTTCCTCATAATGCTTCATCAGTTTTAGATTCTAAGTGAGAGACTTGCAGCTATTCCTTCCACTTGAACAGAGACCACTGTGGGTTGTTAGATGGCACAACTTCAATACGACTGTATCTCAGGGAACAGGAAAGCTGGAGGAGAGGGAGAGACAGGAGGTGGCCAGTGGCTGGAGCAGGGACAACCCACACATAATTTATCAATTAAGTCTGATGCCTTTCATGGCTGTGTGTGTAGAGCCTCCAATGATTATGGCAGTAAGATCACAGGTGACCATAACTGCCTTAAGAGTAACGAAAAAGTTGGAAATACGTGAGAATTGACAAGATGTGACAGAGACATGAAGTAAGTCCACTCTCCTGGGAAATGGTGCCACAGAGTTACTCAACACAGTGTGGACACAAAACTCAATTTGTACAAAGGAAAAGGAAACAGTATCTGCAAAGTGCGCTACAGCACAGCATACTCCAGGAGGGATGCCTGTGCAGCGTGATAACTGGGTGGCACCAAGGCTGGGCCTAGACAAACCCGAGCTCCCTCGGCAGGGACAGGCAGGGTGCTGAGTCAGATTGTGCAGTAGCCTTGGGAGGTGAGGGGAACTCTAGGGAGAAGCAAGGCAGACCATAGTCAGGCAGCGGCCTGCATATGGGCCTCACCATCCAGACTCCTGCTGGATGGCTGCCGTGGCTCCTTCTAGCTCACTTTTCTGCTCCGTCCATTACACCCTAAGTATTTTCAAAGACAGCTGTACGTTAACTTTCCACATTACTGCTTTCCTGCAGGAATCTTCTTCATTCTGGATTTTCTTGATTAATAATTATCTGGTATCATCTTCTGAAGAACAAGTCACTCACTGTCCTGAGCCCTTTGAAGATAACAGTCAACATTTACCTGCACGTGTAGTCACTTAAGGGAAGTCTGGTGTAAACAGCATTCCTTCTCCTAGGTAGGGAGGGGAGTCTGTCATGAGTAGACTGTAATTTTCTCTATATTGTCATATTCTAAAATATCAGTACAATGTTTCTGGATGACTGACCTGCGTATATATGTGTGTGTTTTACTAGGTATTGAACCCAGGATGCTATACCACTGAGCTGCATCCCATAATATAAAATTTACCATTTTTTTTAATTGTTGATGCTTTATTCATTTATATGTGGTATTGAGAATCAAACCCAGTCCCTCACACATATGAGGCAAGCACTGTACCACTGAGCCTGAGCCACAGCCACAGCCCACAGCCCCTTTTGAGACTGGGTCTTGTTAAGTTGCCCAGACTGGCCTTGAATCTGTGATTCTCTTGCCTCAGTCTCCTGAGCTGCTGGGATCACTGATGTGTGACACCACACTTGGCTGAATGACTAATCTTAACATTGTACAGGCTGGGTTCATCTTGCTGTCTGAAGTGACCCATGCTTGTGTCCAGAGCAGTCTAGAGCATGGGCTTGATACCTGGCCATGACCAAGATGAGTGAGGTCTGCAGTCACAGGTTCCTAAGTTGCTTAGGGAAAGAACATAGCAGGCTGGCAACACTGCTCAGTAACCATGACTAGATTCATGACTTGCATCTGATTTTGGCGGTACCTGGGTGGTGACATGGATGCAGGCTGATCCTGCAGGTGGAAGTGTCGATGTGACCAGCTCACAAGCCATACCACCAGAGGCCTGAGGCTTCCTCATATTGAGGTGCTACACAGAGATGATCTTCAATCTGGAAGAAGGCACATGCCAAGCCCAGAGGCACCTGCTCTCTCCAGTTTCTGAAAGGAATCACTGTAAACTGACACTTCACCTACAAACTGTGGAGTCCTGTGAATCCTTTTAGCAAACGAATCTTTAAATCAATCACTCAGCACATACATGTAAAAGGCGTAAACTTTATTAATTGAAACACAAGAAATAAAAACCTCTCTTTCAAGAACTAAAAAAAATGGGGGGGGGGGGGGACGAACAAGTCAATACCATTATATGAATATGATTCAGCTAATATTTTCTTAAGAAATTTTATAACTAAAACTATAGTCAGTCACATATTAAGTAAATAAAGCTTAAAAGGAAAAAGGTAACATCCTGACATTTCTGTAACTTGGAAAGTATCTGATAAGTAAGAACCTCTTCATCTGTTTTTTGTATATATCCTTAAACTTAAAATAAATATGCATTTAGAATGTCGCCTGGGAGATGTACTTACCCTGACATCAGTAGCATCTCCGTGCCTGATAATACTGGCCCAGGTGGTTGGCTCATTATTGCTTTCAAAATAATGAAAGACCTTCAATACTCGCTCCATGGCACCAGGAGAACGTTCCATGCCAGGACCCAGGTGGGTCTTAGCACTTGAGTGTGGCGTGTGGTTCAAGTTGGGGTCAAGGTAAGCAGCTGCCATTATTTTGCTGGATGCTAGGTATCTATCATATTCTGTTAAGAGAAAAAAGTTTTTTTCAATGTCCAATATTTGAAATCAAATCACAATATGATGCATTAGTATTTATATTATCAACACCATTCTTCACTCTCTCCCATGATGTATCATGCAGAAGAAATTTGAGGTGAATAGGGTCTTAACCTGCCACAATAATCACTGTGTCCCCAGGCCCAAGGCAGGACCTGACTGACCACAGTATAACACAAACTTGTTGGAGAATTCATTTGAAGAGCAGGACTCCTGTTTAAGTAATGTAAAAAATTCACTGTGCTATCTATGTCCCTTCCCTTTTACTTCTACAGTCTTGAATTGTGTGGAAAAATCTCATAGCAAAAGCCAGATTTGTTAATTAAAAATACTGCCTAGTTTTGAGAACTTTCCCCTAAGAAAAAAGTTCATTCTTCCTACAGTAAAAACTCAATGAGTAGACTTTATTCATACTAAGACTGGCAACTAAAAGCACTAGAATCAGGGACTGGGGATGTGGCTCAAGCGGTAGTGTGCTCGCCTGGCATGTGTGCGGCCCAGGGTTCGATCCTCAGCACCACATACCAACAAAGATGTTGTGTCCGCCAAGAACTGAAAAATAAAATATTAAAATTCTCTCTCTCTTAAAAAAAATAAAAATAAAATAAAATAAATAAATAAATAAATGCACTAGAATCAAAACAATTTCCTCCCACTTAGTCAAGTCAGGTTAAGCAAGAGACTCTGATAGAGAACTACTGAAAACAAAATAGTCTAAGTGACTGCATTATTTCATAAACTCACCTTGAGATTAAACTGAAAATATGGATTTTAAGAAAACAAAACAAAACTGATGTTTTGGGGCTCGAGGAAGAGACAATCTGTGGCAGCCCGAACAACAGTGATAGAGATGGAGCCAGAACCCAATTCCTGACAGCTGCTTCTTCCTACAGGCAGCTCAGGTCTGAGAGCCAGAAGAGTCCAGGAAAGGTGGCTAGTGGGAAAGAAGCCAGCAGGACCTTGGGCAGCAAGGGGCTGGCATGCTGGAGGACTCCGCCTCGGCCTGAGCCCCCACTAGAAGCATTTAGTTACAGCAGCCCCAGTTAAGACACATATTTACAACCTGTCAATATGTATGTATAAGGTCATTCACTCCAGCCTGGCCCAAGAGAGTAGGCAAATGAACTACAGCAAATTCCCACAACAAAGTACCACGAATCTGCAGGGAAGGATCCAGGGAGGAGACAGAAATACCCCTACAAATAAAAACAATGAAAATAACTGCTAAAGTACACGTATCCAACAATACAGTTAAAAATTTAAAAAATCAAGTTATCTCTTTTCTAAAAATAAAAGAAATAGTAAGGCATATCAAGGATTGAAAAAGACAAGAAACATTAGCACTATCAAGAATGAAGCAAAAATGAGGATACAAATAAAATGGTTGGGAAATAATTAATGACACTGAAAATAAAAAATCAATGCAATCCAGCAACTTCAATGTTTACAGCAGGACCATTCACAGTCACCAAGTCATGAAACCACTCCAGATGCCTGTCAACAGATGAAGAATCAGGAAAATGTATGTATACATCAGGAAGTTCTAGTCAGCCATGAAGAAGAATAAAATCATGGCATTTACTGGAAAATGGAAGTAAATGGACAGCATCATGCTAAGTGAAGTAAGACTGGCCCAGAAAATAAAGGGTGGTCAAATGTTTTCTCTCCTATGTGGAAGCTGGAACAAAATAAGGGAAAGAAGGCTGGGGGTGGGGGGTGGGGGTGGGGTTAATATCACAAAGATAAAGGAAATATCAGCAGAGCAGGAGCAGAGACAGAGAGGAAGGAAGAAGGATGGGAAATGGGAGGAAATGCAGAATGAATTTAACAAAATCATGTTATGTGCATATACAAATATACTTCAGGGAATTATCCCTTTATGTATATGTAGAAAGCACCAATCAAAAATGAGCAAATACATGAGTAGAGGAAGGAAAACAGTAACGGAGAGAGGAAGGAAAGGAGCAGGGGAGAGGGGAATGAAAGGGACAAACAGGAAAGGAAATCAAATTTGACACATTCATGATTTTGTCAAAATGAACCCAACTATAGTGTACAACTAAAATGCTCTAATTTTGAAAAAGACAATTAGATAAGAGATGAGACTATTAATATATTTTAATATTCTTTTTTTAACTTTTTTTTTGTTGTAGATGGAAACAATATCTTTATTTATTTTTATTTGGTGCTAATGATCAAACCCAGGGCCTCACACGTGCACGGCGGGCGCCCTACCACTGAGCCCCAGCCCCAGCCCTATTTTAATATTCTTAATAAGAGAATATAAATAACTTCATGCCAATGAACTTGAAAATTTTAGATGGAAGACAATCCTTTCAAAACACAACTCAGGAAAACTGAGACAATAAACATAAAATTTAGAATACTATTAAAAATAAACAATCTATAATTAAAATTATTTTGATAAGAATATTTGCATTCTTCCAATAAATAAATGGAAAAAATATATTGATCTCACAGAAAAATTCAACAAATATGGAATATTTCCAAATTAGCTTATTGAGACAAGCAAAGCAGTGGTATCAAAACCTGTCAAGGACAATACAAAAAAGGATACAAGCTGGTATCTCCTAAAATGAAACATTTTAACAAATTGTTAGCAAATTTAATCCAACAATATTTAAAGAATACATCACGAAAAAAATGAGTTTATTCTAGGAACGCAAAGGTGATTATGCATTCAAAAGCAATTTGTAATTCACCACTTTCAGAAAGGAGAACAGCCACAATTATCTAGCACAGACAGGAAAAGCATGTCATACAATTTACCAACCACTCATGATAAAGGGCTCTTAGTAAACTAGGAATGAGCTTCCTTAATCTCCTGATGAGTAGCTCCAAGAAACTCATTAAAAGCCGGGGGGGAAATGTCCCTTTCCTAGACTAAAAATAAGACAAGGATGCTCACTATAACCACTTCTAAGTAACCTTGCCCCAGAAGTTACTACCAATTGCTGCAGGTAGAAAAAAAGAACACAGGGTGAAAAGGAAGAAATAAAACTATCATTATTCACAGACCACATAATTACCTATAAAGAAAATCTGAAATAATCTACAAATAAACTTCTGGAATGAATACAAGGCAATGTTGCTAGACCATCAACTAAAAGCCCACTTGTGATCACTCTGGTTTCCTCTTTGGGGCAAGAATTCAGCACTGAGCTTCAGGCCGTAGGGGCGTATTCGGACATGTCTTATTTTCAGTCTCACTGCCCCCCGACTTGCTCAATATTATTTGTACTGCTCTCCTGTTGCTAGTATATCAGATCCTCTGATCACATTTTCTGGAGTGGGTTAGGATCTCGCTGTGCTGCCCAGGCTGGTCTGAAGCTCCTGGGCTCAAGCACATTCCTGTCTCAGCATACAGAGTAGCTGGGTGGACAGACATGTGTCTGATTTCTCTTAACATTTTTTTTTCCTTTTTTTGGGTGGCCCTGGGTATTGAATCCAGGGGTGCTCTAACACTGAGCTACATTCCGAGCCCTTTTTGAGACAGGGTCTCACTAAGCTGTCCAGACCAACTTCAAACTTGTGAACTCTCCTACGTCAGTGTTATGGTTTAGTTGTGGTATCCCCCCAAAAGCTCATGTGTGAGACAATGCAAGAAGGTTTGGAAGAGGAATAATTAGGTTATAGCCTTAACCTAATTAGTAAATTAATCCCTGGTGGGATTAACTGAATGGTAACTGAAGGCAGGTGGGGTATAGCTGGAAGAAGTGGTTCATTGGGGGCATGGCTATGGGATATATATATTTTGTATCCAGAGAGTAGATTCTCTCTCTCTGCCTGCTGATCATCATGTAAGCCATTTCTATCTGCCACTCTCTTCCACCATGATGTCCTGCCTCACTTTGAGCCCCAAGGAATGGAGCCTGCTATATATCAGACCTCTGAAATCGTGAGCCCCTAAATAAACTTTTCCTCCCCTAAAATAGTCAGATCTCTTAGTCACAGCAGAGAAAAAGCTGACCAAAACACTCAGCCGCACAAGTAGCTGGAATTTTACAGGTGTGTGCACTGCACCCAGCTTTTTGAACACTCTTAAAATGCAATGCTTTTATTTATCTATTTGCTTTAGGAAGCACTTGATAGTATGCTTTACTTTGATGTCCTTACTGTCTCATTTGGGGACCAAGAAGAAGTGCTTACCATTGAGCCTCATCCCCAGCACCTCCCTCCTCTTTCTAAATTCTTACTTTGAGGCAGGGTCTCACTAAATTGCTGAGGCTGGCTTTGAACTTGAGATCCTCCTGCCTCAGCCTCCTGAGCCAGTGAGATTACAGCCATCAAAACCTTTTTAAAAAGATAAGCCTGTTACAGTGTGAGTGAAGCAGTTTTCCATGACAGAATGTGACTGTTTTACAGTCTAATGCTTTTATTTGTTTGTAAAAATGCTATTTGGACCATGCATTCTCAAATGGACATTTCTGCCACCATGCCTTTCTCACCTCCCTCCAGGTAGTTCTGGGCCTGATTCTGTTAACAACTCGACCCCCAACACTCCCAGGTGGCACTCAAGTCTCTTCATGTGTCCTTTTGCTGGTCTAGAGGGCCGAGACCCTGACCTGGGGTGCCTGGAAGGGTGTTCCAGGAATGGCCAGCCATGAAACAAGTCCTGAGCTGCCTTCTCTAGATTGCCTGGTCATCTTATTTGTGTGGTGCTGCCTTTGTTCTGACCCACAGCTGGAACTGCATGACTGGGGCTGCTGATCTCCAACTGTGAAAGTTGTAAAGAACAATGGCTCTCACCCCCACAGGGAGAGGTGGTCCCACTGGGCTCTGCTGTCACTGTAGCCCTCCAGCATCTGCTGCCATTCTCTTACAGCTTCTCAAGATTTCTCCATCAGAGGTATCTAGTATTTTTGCATACTGCAGAGTATTGTTCTCAAAAACTATCAAGGTAGAAAGATTTTAAAACCCAAAACTGTGTTTTACATGGTTTATA